AGAGAGAGAGAGAGAGAGAGAGAAGAGAGAGAGAGAGAGAGAGAGAGAGAGAGAGAGAGAGAGAGAGAGAGAGAGTTCCATCAATAGTCGACGATTCGACCTTTATAGGTACACGCGAACTACTTTGTCTAATCGAATGGAAGAGAATTACAGCTCGGTCGGTAATCGAGTTGGATCCTCGAAGCGGACTCGATCGATTTAAGGGCTTGATCGATGATGGCACGAGCTTACTATTACATGCACGGGTTAAGCAATTACACTTGGGAAGAAGGATTGTCGAGTCGAAGATCGGATAGATTAGAGAGACAGTGTTTTCGTTTCTCGAAAGTTTCTCTCTTTCTTTCTGCGAGTTAAAGTAAGAAAATAAATACGAGTGTAATATGATACGCGAGAGAAAGAGAAAATGTTTTCTTGTCGCGGACGGCATCGGGTGATCGATCCAGTTTTGTTTCTTTTCCCAAGAAGCGAGTAATTGAGACGCGGGCAAAATTTCATCCAACTTGTACACGTACAGCGATAAGATCTCATTAAGAAGATCTCCAAGAAAGTGAGCCAAGGACACGGATAAATTTCGCCAACGGTGCTCTCTTGTTTGAAGTGATGTATCAAAAAAAAAAAAAGTTGACGGTCAAAGAGAAAGAAAGTTTATTTAAATTTATCTTTTTGGATGAAATGAAACGATCCATTTTTCCTTACTCCAAACAAAATGGAATCAAGAAAGTTTACGAGGATTTTTGAGGATTAATCCATCAAGTTGCACGGTGTCGAAGAGAGAGGTTCTCTATTAGATATACTCCATTCAGAATCTACGTTGTAGACGGTTGCAGAGCTTACACGGTGTTACACGTTAATTTATGTTGATCGAATAAAATGTTAATTTAACGCCGTTTCGAAATTCAAAGTGCGTTGTTTTAACCTTGTTGCGTAACTTTTAATCTTAATTACATACAACGTCGAAAATTATTTTCCCGACATTATACAAGAGATATTACACAAGTATCGAATTTAAACGAATTTCCTTTCGTTTTTGCCCGATCGATGTTGGGTTGGGTTTATTTTAACGAGGGAAAAAAGAGGAAGATTTTTATTCATATCCTTTAAACAATAACCGCGTATAAATAATATAATCGAAAATTGTACCTTGAAAAATCGGGTGTAATTAAAAGATACTTTTACCTCCAAACAGATTCGAATCGGGTTAAGTACATCGATAAAAATAGTCCCGAAGATTCCAGAATTTTTTATTTACGTTGATATAACATTCAACGATGCGCAATCTTACGTAAATACCAAGGAGGATATACCTGGCATTCCGATATCTCTAACGCCATCAGCCGCGTTAAAAATCGCACGGATGCCGACTTTTTGCCGTGCATGCGTCGCGGAAATTTTCGAGACAAGGGCAAGCTCTGAATTAAGAAAACGATGAGGACGATCTTAATGAGGAGGGGGGGGGGGGAGAAGAAAGAGAAAAGAAGGAAGAAAATACGAGACTGCGCCGATTTGTTCGATCGATATTGTTGTATCTTGGTTTTTTTTCGAGAGACGAAATAAAATGTCGTGGTCGATAAAAGTTGGCGATACGCGGAGAGTGCTCACGAGCGTTCCAGATATCGTGGCTGGTATCAAGTGGTTGACGGAGAAGGAGCCTCCTAATATCCATCAGCTCCGTTCCAGGGTAATATCCGAGTGCGTCTGACAGTGCGGCTTAACGCTTGATATATCGAAACATTTCTCGACCCTCTTACCCCTCCCTTTTACCAACTTTTATCCCGCGACCTTCAAAAAAGATAAACGTCATCGAGATTAATTAATAGCACTGAAAATCCGCCCCGTTAAATCTTTCCAACTTCTCACTACGATCTTTTCGAAACTTTGATCACAGTTGGTTAACAATCGAAAGGAGGGGATGCAAGAATTCCGATTATTTAGTCATGAATGGAAAAATATATGGAAGATATCGATGGACGATTCAATAATCGTCGCTTGTTTAGAAAACGCGGTGCCAATTGGTTCGCGATATTAAAATTGCGTGAAACTGGCGCGGGGGAGGAGGTAAATAATGTAGTCGTTCCAGGACCGAAGTTAATTGATTCGACGAGAAGCGGAGAAACCGAAATCAATTATCCTTTGTCGGGGAGTGTTTGTTCCGACGAAACTCTCGCCGTGTAAACGGTGGCAAAACACTATGGTAGGAAAAAATACGCGAACTAATATTCGAGAGTCACAAATTTCCTCCTCGGTAATTGGACACGGTTTTTGTAAGCTGCAGCTCTTGGATCGTTACGTATCAACGCGAAATACAAGCGTGAAAATGCGCGAAACGTTGCATAAAAACGTTTTGACAACTGAAGGGGAGAGGGGAGGAGGAGAATTGGAGAATGATCAATCTCTCCTTGCGGGATATTCCGTGGGGAATAATAAGCGAATTTTGATAATTACAGTTTTTAAAATTTTTTCACGCTTGTATTTCGCATCGCGCGTGATAAAAGTTTGTAATCCCGTGGAAATTTTCTAGGTCGTTCCGTGGCGTAAATCCAGACGCGTCTGGATAGAAGAAAGATGGACAGGAAAAGTTAAAAGGTTTCGCGGACCGTCAATAGAGGGCACTTGTTGCGATTTACGAACCTGGCGGTCGAACGGGGAACTAGACAATGAATATAAATTCAACTTGTAACGTTCATGGGTATGCGAATGACTCCTTAAATTTTAAATCCAAATATCGCGCGTATCTATTTTATTAAATGTAAGTAAATTTTTTTCCTAGAATAAACTCTCTACATCTTTTTATAATAGTATTTATTCTAGAAAAATATTACGAATTTATTTATGATGTAATAATAACGCTTCCTTTCCTGGATGTTGTGTAAAGGAGAGTATGTATGATTGGAAAAAGAAGGATTCGAAAAAGCTCAGAGGTCAATGGCAAAATGAAATTAAGGTGGCTCAATACCGAATTAGGACGAAATTCAAGGATTTATCAAGGATTAACTCCTGCACGGTACAGCTGCAAGTCTCTGCCGAGCACCTCTCGTTTCCCAAGTCGACCCCACCACCACCACCACCATCACCACCACATCGCCATTTCCAGCTCTAAGTCTTGGAGCAGAGAGGAACTTTATGTGGGTTAAGTAGAATCATGGTCCGTGCCACGCTCAAAGGATTTAGGAGTAAGGTGTAGTCGGTGCTACAGGATTTGAAAAAGAAAAGAGGGAGGGGAGGGGAAAACAAAAAAAAAAAGAAGGAGAAGAACGTTCCCGGCTCGAAGAGCTCCGTTGCTTTTCGTTTGCTTCAACTGCCTATTGTGGCAAGGTTAATAACGAGTAATGGTTCAAGCACCGTGTTAAATTCTTTGCATCTCTTTTCTTTTTTTTTTTTTTTCTTTCCTTCTTTCACTACTTTCAAATCCCCTTAGGAAAGAAATAGAGACCGAACGTTGGATGGATTTTTTTGCTCGATCGTTCTTTTCTTCTTCGGATGGCAACGTTGCATTAAAATTTAACGAACGAGTGAAAATTTTAACATCATTCCTCCCGCGGGAATTGACGCGTTTCGAAGACGTATTCGCGAATAAGCTTCTTCAGAAGAACGATTGGGCATCGCGCTCGATATTATCGTATTAATCGATCGATATAGATGCAACGTTGCTGACACGCCACGTTCAACAAAGCACACCTCTTTCACGCGGATTTACGCGAATTATTTTCGAGGGAATTATTTCCCTCGATTCGATATGCAAATACAGTACTGAGGAAAGAAAGAAAATCTGCTTAAATCGAAGGGGAAAAACGGATTATAATTTCAATTATTCGTTCGTTCCAATCTTTTCTTCTATCATGATTCGGTCGATCGTTTCTTCCTCGTGAAATAAAATAAATTTCTTCATCGTGCACGATCAAGATCGCGAGGAAAGAGTACCGATCCTTGACAATCGATCATGAGCGTTCAAGCTCTGTTTCTGAAAGACTGAAGAAAGAGAAGAAAGAGAGGAAAAATCTTACTTTAGCGTTCGTAACGATGATCCGCCACGATGCATGGGAAAATACTTTACTTTACTCTGCCTCGTTCAGATCCCATTAAAGTTTAAACAAACGATCGAACGAGGGGAGGGGAGAAAAAATATTAATCCAGGGGCAAGTTTATCGCGCGCACGCAAATCTCCATTGCGTGTTTAATCCGCCTAAAGTCGTGGCGGATCCCCTCCCCCCTTTCACGAAGTTTGACATACCGTCGAACTACGACCGGAATACAATGTTGCCAAACTTTTAAATAGAAAAGTTTTGGGGGAGGGGAGGAACGTTGGCGATCTTGCGCGCCTCGGCCGTTATCGTGCCTCGTTAACTCGTGAACGTTAATAACCGGCAGGCGTCGTAATTCACAATTAGCAGAGGGCGCACTGGGCGAGGAGGAGCAGGCGTTTTAAAATTTATCGGATTGTTAACCGAGTGGCACGGTATGCTTTTTCGGTGAACGTTGTTGTTATTGCTATTACTCCTCCTCGCGTTAAATTAAATCGTCGAGGTTTAGAGACTCGCCCGTCGCGTTTCTGTTCTTCAACTTTCGAAAAGAATTACTTGCTTCGATTCGAGAATCGAATAATAGCATAACAAAAAAAATAGTGTGACGTGATTTCACGATTTTGGGGAGAGTGGTTTTTCGACATTCGATCTCGTAAACGTAATTTCGTTGATAATTTATATATTTTTTTTTTTCGAGAAAAAAAAAGGACAATTGCAAATGAATAATCCACCGCGTGTACTTCTTCTTTTTTTTCAAAAAAATTTTTTAATCGAGTAAAGAGTGAACAAGCGTTCTATCCAGTTCGATCCAGAAAATTCCATTTATCGCTCGCGAATTTTCATTTGTTCGAGCCATCTCGAATTTATCGGATCGAGAAAATTTATCAACTTGGATCGATTTCGAGAGAAGGATTCGGTCAGACGTGTCTCTCAACATTTCGCATTTGCACAGTTCAGTTTTCTCTCGTGGTTATGAATCATCGATGCTCGAGTGGATACAGCTCGTTTAACAGTTGGTTCGACTTTAATCCTCTCTCTCTCTCTCTCTCTGCCAACTCCACAGTACTCTCCCCTCTTACTTATCGTCCCTTTCCCTTTCTATCTACATACTTGGAAACTTGCACCTACCCCCAAAAGCGATTTTCTTTGTCCTCCAAATATAACAAAGTTGCTCGTGTGCGACGATTTCGACGGCCGTTCTCGCTTTTATACAAGCCCTGTTCAAACAAACGTACTCCAACTTCGAAGGAGAATGGCGGATTTCGAAGCTGTGTGGGCAGAGACGATTCGTTTTTTAACTTTATTGGTTCGTGTCACGTAATAAAGTGGACTGGACCGGTTCGTTAGTTATTCAAAAATGAGGAATAAATAACGCGCCAACGATACGATATTTGAACCACGTATCGTGTGTTTTGGCATTAATCGTGTGTTGTGTGAGAAAGGTATTGTATCCGTGGATCAATAGTTTAGATGGATTGATGAAACGTTTATGAAACGTTCGAAATATCGTCACAAGTCTCGATCTCGTCGATTTCTACTTTCCTGAATTCTTTCCGAATAGAAGTAAACGAAATTCGTAATTTTTGAAATTTCTATTAGATATTTTGACGCGAATATTATTATTATTTCGCGTTTAATTTTTATATTTGCGGACGGATCTCTCTCCGTCTCGACGTAGTAGAGAAAACTCGATGCAACTCGAGTCGGGGGAGAAAAATCAATCTCATTTATATGAGAAAGTTAAATAAAACATAATCGAATAGGTGGAAACAAAATTATGAGTCGAAATTTTACATTCATAAAATTAGTATTATCGAATTGTATGCCTCGCGCCATTCGGTTTCCCAAGCGTTGCACGTTTCTGAAATTTCAAATTGAATTCGCGCTGCGTTATTCGCCATCGCGAATAATCTCGGTTATAATCAAGTTGCTTAACTCGTTTATCGAAGGAACAATAACGCGGCGATGATATTAAACGCAATTCTTTTTTTCTTCTCTCTTTTTTCTCCCCTCTCCTCCTTTTTCCGGTTAAAATGGATCCAAATATCGATATGAAATAAACGAAGGTAGAAAAGAAGCCTCGAAGAACGGAACAGAACAAATAAAAGACTCACCTCAAGTCTCCCTTTTGTAAAGAAATCTCCTCGAAAAATAAACGTATCCTCTCCTTTAACCTGTAATCAGATCAAAAACGTTTCCCTCGAGCGAACATTTTTAAACATGTTTGTCGTAGTTGTTGTGGATCGAATTTATATAATTCGATTAGACGAGGGATTAGGGGGAGGGAAATCGGAGAAGGAAGGGAGTAGTCGTGTACAGGGATTGATAAATAAAACCGAGTTTTGAGATTGATAAATAAAAAGGAGGATAACGAAATTTTCACGAATGGAATGAAACGTTGGAGAAAAACTTTCCTTCTTCGGGAAACAAATAATTGCTTTTGGAAACCTGTATCCGACAAACTTGATAGAATATAATCGAATTAAGGAAAAGGGTCTGAGGGGGGAGGGGGGAGGAGGGGGGGAGGGGGAGGGGGGGGATCCCAGAAGAAATCTAATTATTTTCTACCGCTGTTGAAAAGAAGAAAAATTGCGCTTGTAAAACTTTTCAATTCTCGCCGAGATTGATTTTAAAACTTTTTTTTTTTCAAAAAAATATGAAAATATTCAAAATCTCCAATTTTCCGAAGTCTCTTTTTCCCCCGAAGAATCGATAATTCCTCCTTCCTCAAATTTGGATTGAACTCGAGAACTGTGAAAATCGTCGTTGCCAATTTCTTCGACGAAAATTTACATCCCAATGATAATTGCCATTATTTTTAAAATTTTCCCTTTTAATCCAGCGTTAGAATTTTAATCAAATCGGGGAGGAGAAAATTTCGAAAAAAAACTTCGTATCTTGTTTCCCGGATCGGCGAGGTGTCGCACGCCTGTCTGTCTTCCAAGCCAAGTCGTATTTCATAGATGCATCCGCTATTTCAAGGATGCACTTCTGACACGAGACGTTTCTTTCCATCCTTTCGAAGAAAATACTCGCGACACGACCGGTGTAAACTTTCGTGCGCTGTTCGTGCGTACCACGACGAGAAATGGGAGACGAGAAAAGTTGAAGGCAGCCGCGAAAATTTGCGGGGCAAAGCGATACGATTTTCCACTAAAAAAAATCATATTATTTTTTCACAGTTTCGTGAAAATGTTTACCTCCCTATATAATAATTATAAATTAAACAATCTCGCGAACGTTGAGAATATTTAATTAGTAGTAATTGGAATACACGAATGAAGAGATTGTTGCAAATTGTTCTTGCGACAAAAAAAAAAAAAGAATGGCAAAACTGAGGCTGACGATCGATTATCCTTCGGATATAACACGGGACAGGCGTGTACATATTTTTAGAATCCGTCGGATGATCGAGTTTATCGTCGAATTTATCGCCGTCCCTGAAGTACACTCGAGCGCATGGTGAACATCCATATCCAACGTGTGTGGACGCCTCGCTCTTATTCCTCTTACACGATTTTACACGATTTTAAAGAGAGCACGATACGCGTTGGAATTTTATAAACGCATTCCCGGGCGAGACGTCTCCGCGGTGTGCATTTTTCAACGCGCCGCGGCGTAGAAGGAAAATCGCGACACGGCGAAAATACGGCAACGAATGCCTCGTATTCGAAGAAACGTAATTTTCCAACGGATTAACATCTAATGGATTAACCCGTGGAGGAAGAATCGAATTGACCATCGACGAATAACGATGAGCCTAAATCAATCGATGCGTTTGGATCAGGCGTTAATTAACTAGCATTAACTCTTGATTGCTAACTAAGTTAGCTAAATTAACGTCTGGATCGATCCTTTTTTATGGAGGAAGAATTGGCCAAAGTGACAATTAAGAAATAAGTAATGAGCCTAAATCAATCGATCGGTGGATGCATCTTAATTACACAGATGGAAACAGTTAACTAAATTAACATCTGGATCGATTCTTTTCTATCCCTCGTGGAGGAAGAATCGGCCAAATTAACGACAAATAAATAACGAGGCTAAATCAATCGATGGAAGATGCGTTCGGATCAGGCGTTAATTAATTAACATCTCGATTGCGCAGAATAGTTAGCAACCTTTTTTTATTCCTCGTGGAGGAAGAATCGAATTGACAGTTAAGAAATAAATAACGAGGCTAAATCAATCGATGGAAGCTGCGTTCGGATCGGGCGTTAATTAACTAGCATCTCGATTACACGGATAGAAACAGTTAGCTAAATTAATTAATCTAGATCGATCCTTTTCAAACTCATTTTATCCCCCGTGAAGGAAGAATCGGGCGAATTGACAGTTAAGAAATAAATAACGAGGCTAAATCAATCGATGGAAGCTGCGTTCGGATCGGGCGTTAATTAACTAGCATCTCGATTGCGCAGATAGGAGCAGTTAGGTAAATGCGAGGGAGCATTAGATGTATGTGGAGATTGGCCTCAAGATGCATTACACGTGGATTACGTCGGGATCGGTTGGCAGCCCGGCTCGAGAGTAGGTCAGCGTAGTTACCTTGCCCGGAAGAGGTACGAGCACCGGATGTTCTTTGGGTAGGAGGACGGGTAGCGTGGCGAGTAGAAGCGGCCGTATTGCCGTTTTGATTGCGAGCTGACAAACTCGAGGTCGCACATCGTGCCGGGAATCAACACGCCGTCCGTCTCGAACAGGCCTGCAACAGAAATGGCGCTGTCATCTCTCCTTGCATCCTAAACGTTTTATCGTTATTCCTTACGCATTGTACGAATATATGCATGATATAATCACGTTCCAGGGACATTCGACATTGTTACTCGACTGGATAAACATAAATGCAAACGGATATGGCACTCACCATCCTATATTTTATTATTATACGTATATCAGTGAATATTACATTCTTTAGGGACTTTTGTTACTTGATTGGCAACCTTGTTAAATACAAATACGAGCGCAGAGGGTTAAAACGATTTCTCAGGGGCTAATAATTTCGGTTAATAATGTCGACTGTGGGAAAGTGATTAAACGGAAGCGAAGAAATGGCGTTAAAATTTTTTTTTTTTTTCCCCCATTTAAATTTCGTTTCCACGGAGGAGGAAATCAAATTTGTGCGCGACGATTTTTTGATTAAATTTTTCCCCTACAAATTTAATTTATTTTTGCCCACTCGATCAATAATTTATTGGTCAAGTTTCGCACAAATGGCGAATCTTGGATTTACTTATTTTCGAGCCGAAAGAAGCTTCGATCGTATCGCTCTCTGCTCGCGCAGCAAAAGCGACCAATTTCCAAATACGTGGACAATTTTGTCGCTGCCCGATTCCGAAATTCCAAACTTTCGAGCAGACGCTCGGCAAATCTCACGTGTGACACGGATTTTCACACGAGGGGGAGGGGGATACATGAGAAATTTCGGCCTTGCCGAAACTCTGCTATCCGTTTCAAACTCGTTTCGAAACCAAGACTTTCCACGCATTCCCAATTATAGGAATGTTCTGATATCGGGTGCTGATATTCGATCCCGGTGTTCGAAATTTCGTGTAACCTGTTTAGCCTGACAACAACCGTTTCCAATTTAATTAATAACGGATGGAAATCGGACAGAATTGTGTCGCTCGAGTCAAAAAGCAAAAATTAAAAACAAAGCCAAAACTCCCGCCTGATATTTCTTTCCAAATTTTCACCAGGGCGACGACACGTCGTTTCTTCCTTCCTTCCTTTCTTTCTTTCTTCTTTTTCAAAGATTCGCCATTTTCGTTCGAATCTAAATAAAATCACGGAAAGTCAAGTCCATCCTTGGAATGGAAACACTGTGAAAATAACGCTCCAATTATTCCCCACCTTTTGCAACATTTCTCGCGAATATTCGAGTATCCAGATGTATACATAAAGCTCGATGCTTCCTCGGAATCTTATAATCTCCCCTTTGTTCCCGTGGAACAAAGGAGGGGCGTGCAGGTTTTAAAAAGTCGCCGAGGATCGACTTAATTAAGGAGCGAAAAAAAAGAAGGAAACGTTCCTCCTCGAGCTTGTTATCATCGATTTCGCGAATACCACCTCCAGCTGTTTACGAACGACGGTGCGTAATCGCGTCGCAATAAGGAAGGGGGGAACAAGATGCTGGTGCCCTCTATTACGCGACAGACCGCAACCACTCACTTATCTTGACAAATGACGATTATCTGGCGTAGGGACAGTTGAGCGACGTAATCGCGCTCCAACGTAATGACGCGTCAACACCTAAGCGGTGTTGCTCGAGATCGAGCGAACGAACGAATACTTGAATCGATGCTCGAGATATTCGATCCTCTCCCTTTCGTTACTGCACTGACTAGAAGTCGTTCTGTAAAAAGATACGACGAGCGATTTATCGTTGGTTTCTCGCGAAAGATGATAAAAATGAAGGGGAAAAAAGGATGCCAGATCAATTTGGAGAGGTTGGAATAAAGTTATCGTGTTATTATATTCTGCAATCTTATTCGATTCCAAAGTTTATTAATTAAAAATAGCGCACATTTTTGGCCCGTAAGTGCGGACACGATGCACGACAGCTTGAAACGGTCGAGCAGCGTTTTAGCTAGCAAAAATTTAGAAGAAAAGTAGAAGACGAGGCTTTGGAATGTGCCAAGAAATGTTTCAATCGTAAGATCCGTTTTCGAGAAACACTCTAATCGATTTTTCACCTGTTTTCGATTAATCGTTTAAATTACATTCGTCAAATACGAATCGAATTCCAAGGAAGAATTTTCGATTTTTGGAACATAGATACAATTAATTTAAGCGTCGATTTATCGCACGACGAAATAATTGGCAACACGGATATTATTCTTGGCCGAGTACTGTCCACAGTTAATATTCCAAAGTTAATATAACAGCATTCACGGGACCGAGAATAGTTATATACACTAACAATTAGTCGGGGTAGGTAAGGGAAGTTGTCAACCCCCCCCCCCTCCCCTCTTCGGTGGAATATTTATGAGTGTACCCGGGCAGGGGGTAAATTGAGAGCGAGGCAACGTCTGTTTCAACAATCGTTTTCATCGAAACGAAAATGGACGTGGTGGAAATGTTGTTTTCGGAAAACGGATGATCAATAAAATCAAAGATTCTGATATAGAACGAAACTTGACGGTGGCGCCTTACTCTTTATCGCTAAAATTAGAAAAGCTGCCTGCTGTTAAAAATTGCTTGGAAAGGACTTGGAAAGTTGCAGTCTCGCAGTTAAATGACGCGACGCGACTAAGTGCCGTGTATGCATGTATTCATGCAGTTACGGAACATTACCATACGGTGTCGGCAAGGGCGAGAAAAAGAGAAGAATCCGTGAAACACTTCTTTTGCCGAAGAAAGTGAAAACTCGTTAGCGGGCTGTGTACGCGGGACAAAGGCGCGGGACATTGGAACGCTTACAGAAAGAGGGAGGTGGGGGGAAAGAAGGAAGAAAAGAAAAAAAAACGCGTACTCGTAATCTTTTCGATATATCTGATGATGCACGTGTATGCGCACAAATATTTGTTTGTTTTGATTCTTTTAACGAGAAAATTTCTAATTTTTTTTTTTTTTTTAAGGGATTCGAGACAATGTCTATTCGAGTAGACAACAATGGAACAAAAATAGATTATCGTGTATCGTTTCATACGAAGTCGTGGAATTTCCGACAACATCGGTGTACCAGCTTCGTCGTAATAATATAATTTAATAAAAACCATCTTAAGATAAATGAGTTATACCGGCAAAACAAACGAAAACTGAATTGTGCGCATATTCGGTTGATAAAACTAATTAACAAAGTAACTACGGCTTCGTGAAATTGGCTTTATTTTAATTAAAATCTATATCTTATTATTAAATTTGGTAGGGGAAATTGAGTAGGGGACATTTTTACGACAAACAGTATATCTAGCGTTGCACGCTTCGTCACTTTGCTCACAATTGTGGAAAAGAAATTACAAATTTTTCTTCGTCGAAACATACTTTAGAAGATGTAGAGGGAACCGTTGAAGCCACTTTTCGATTCGATTCCGATGTCTCGATCGGTTACCGAGAAGGATTACGAAAGTTTTATTTCTGTGTTTTATTATGAATAGACTCGTGCGACTTGTTTCCTCGCGTCTTCCATCGTGTCTAAAAAAGTTAGCGATAATGCGAGCGAGAGACGACACACGGAAGAAACCGGCGAACGAGGAAAAATTAGCTTTTCCTTTGCACGACGATATCTCGAGAATCGAAAGTCGTATCGAGATAAACGAAAAGGCATTTTAAAGAAGAAAGTTCCACGCTTCCAACGATCCTTCACACGTCGCAAGAAAGTCATTATCATGAGAGTTACAGCGGTTCAAAGTTTTTCAAATTTTAATCCGGTTTAATGCCCGGTCTCACGGTGGATCGTGTCGATCGATAAGAGCTTGTTTGGTGGACGCGACAAACAAGCGTGGAATGAAGTAATAGAGCGGACGGCGAACGTTCGAAAAACAAAGTTGGGCACCGTGAATTTCATTCGGCGATATCGTTAAAGAGCGGTTAAACGCGCAGCTATTATTCGCGCGCGGTAATATTCTACGTTTTCGGGGCGCGTCGATGCTTTTTCTGCACACAGGTCGGAAACGCGACAACCGATGAAAATTTCAGTTATCGCATATCCACTCCCGAGCTTTGATGCCCTCTCCCCTCCCTAACCCTTGAAATTCTAGTTAACTTGTTGTGACGGCGGCTGTTGGGCAACCGGTTGGGAAACTGTACCGACAAAGTGCTTACTGTTCGTGCGACTCTTAGTGTCGCTAGATTCGATATTGTGAGAACGCAATTGGACGAACAAACGAAATAATTCGAATCCTCGCTTATGAGTTGCCATTAATGATTACGCTTCGTTTTTTACGCTTCTTATTAAAAGAAAGAAGACACTTTTATTTTTCCTCGAACTTCATTAAACTTTTGCACGTAAGAGGCAATTTTGATAGTTTTTAAGCCACGATATAAATATATGGTCACGACGTACCAATGTTTCGATGCTGTTTTGTACGCGTTCTTCCACGTACATTTTAATAAAGCCTCTTACGGGAGCTTTTCTCATAAATCGGCTTTAAGACATCGTGTACAGCTTTATGCAGAGGGGGAGGGGGGAGAGGGGGAGGGGGAAACTCTTGATTAAAATTTTCAACATAATTTTACGCCACGTGTAGGAATCTATAAACGCGAACGTTTATATCGTCGCATTGCCGCGAGTTTTTTTTTTTTTTTTTTTTTAATTTGATATCTCGATATCTTTTAGAGGATAAAAATTTTTGTGACGGGTTTTTATGACTTTTAATTATTTTTGCAATTGATGAAATGGCGACAGTTGAATTTATCGAATCTATTGAGCTTTGTTTTTAAAAGCTCTGCTTTCTTTCGCGTCCTTTCATTTCTACTTTCAATTTTGAAGCGAATCGAAAAAAGCTGCGCTGCGAGTTTTGAACGGAGTTTTGAACCCAAACTCTTAATGGAATCTGTTTATAATTCTCGAGCGGGAAATTTTTATGAAATCCGTAGATGACTTTCTCTTTTTCTGTTTAAAAAAAAAAAAAAGAAGAGAGAGAGAGAAGAAGAGAGAAGAAAAATTTTTCGCTACACCTCGTTTCCTCCTCCGAGTGAATGAATGAAATTGGGTAATACGGAGGAAAGGGGAGAAACATACTTGAAAATCATAACCGGTTG